GGACGCTACTAGGGTCTCCTGGACTACTAGGAACAAGAAGCTACTAGAAACAAATCAAACTGAGATAACCAGTGTGACGGCTGTGAGGTGGGAGACTGGAGGGTTGGGAGACTGAGCGATCTGAAGAAAGACTTCATCGTTTGTTTATCGTTTGAGTCTCAGGGGTCAGACAAAAGTAAGAATGGTTTTTAGTTTCCTAGGTTTTTGGGAGGGTGGAACTTGACAGATTGGGGTCGGGGCATGCTAGGATTGCAACCTATGTTGCAATTGGTAAAGAGTAGGTGTATCTCCAGAGTCATTGCAACCATACCAATTTCCTTCACGTTTTGAGAATTCTGTTGTTTCTTTCCGTTTTCCAACATCCAAACTCCAAACAAACTTCCATTGGCGAAGAGTCGAAGATCAAAGCGGTGGTTTCCCGAAAGAACCAGCCGCCATACGTACAGAATCTTAACTGCGATACCCAGCTTCAACAACCTAACACTGCTTGAAACTACCCTGGCAACTTTTTGGTCGAACAAATATGGTCCAGACTTGTTGTCGTTGCAAGCTTAAGGACTGCTGATTGTGTTTTTGTCTATTCGCTTTATTTGTACATTTGTTATTTCTTTATTCAAAGCCATTTTCAATCTTTATAGTTTGTTGCCGGTCACACGTGCAGTGTTTTACCTCCAGGAATGCCGAGTACTTGGCACGTCACCCGCCGCCGGCGATGACCAACAAGGAGACGATGAAGTCGCTAGCACTCACTGACTCGTTCTCCAGAATGGTTTTTAAGCATAAAGTTAAAGTCACAAGTGTCTGGTTGGAGGCATCTGGTATGTGACGTGTCAACGTTCCCTCTTTGGGTTCACACAACTTGTTGGCACGTGGCTCACACAGCTGTGTGGTGGTCCCACCTTGATTTGGTGAATGTTCCTACCTCTTGTCAGCCTATGCAGCAAGAAATTGAATAGATGACTCCTTGAAGCGCTTCGTTTTCCATGAAACCCCCACACCTCCACATTAGAACTGGATGCCCTACGAAAATGGTCTTGGAGGCCCACGTTCCACGTTTCTAGATGATGATGATGATGATGATGATGATGATGATGATGATGCTGATGATGATGCTGATGATGATGATGATGATGGTGGTGATGATGATGATGGTATGACAGATTCTGATATGACAGATTCTGACCTTAGACGCCAGAAGATCTTCATCAGCTTTATCACGCCTCGACTCGTTCTTCCTTGCGAGGTTGAGTCAGCTAAATACCCAACTCCAGAAGGGTAATCATCAGGAGACTGTTTGCTGTGTTTCCAAGCATTTGCGATATTAGTACAGATCCTGACATATCCTTGCAACCCTTTCCTATTTGCATGTTTAATTAGGGCTGCCCCACCTGTGTGTGGCCGTCTCTGCAAAATCCCAAACCTCATTCCTGACACCTCCCTTATGTTTTTTACATCTTTGTTGTTACAGTGGAGAAACAACACGGTCATTCCAATTCATTCCACATCTCTCGACCCCTTTTGGCACGAACCGCGCGGCGCGTACCGCGAACCGCGTGCACCGCGAGGAGCGCAAGCGGCGGCTCTTAAAGGTGAAGCTCTTCCGGCGCCAGGAGGGGCACCGAAGCGATGCGAGAAGATGGGTGGGCTTGGCCGGGCAGGGGTGGAGGGGAAGAAGTGGAAGTGAGCGCATGTTGTGGTGAACTAGCGGCAGGCTGGCTCTTAGTTGTGGTCAAGATGCATAGACAACAAATAGCATAATAGTTTATGGGCATGCAAGCGCGGGCACGGAAAGAGGCACATCCCAATGTTTGCATGGCAGTGGTTCGAAACGCACTGTCAGGGGTGTGGAAGGTATCGGAAGGTTGACGAAGGAAGATTTTGTGTACGTTTACAGAAGTTGAGAAGCGCACTATTTGCAAGATCGTTGAAATCAAGTTTGGCATAAAAATTGATGAAAAAGGCATGCTCGAGGAAATATCTCCACGTATATCCATGATCCATTTTCATTCATCCTGGAATAGTAGCATCAAGGGACCACACAGTCCAGAGACGCGTGCCAGGAGGCTCCAGTTTTCAGCCAACAAAGACTACTGGGAGCAAAAGACAACAAAAGAATGAAAGGCCACGATAAAAGTAGCCACACGATGCCAAAAGTAGAGTGTTCTAGAGAAATTATATGATAATGCAACAATTGTGTCTGCTTCTGCCACTACTCCTACTGTTGTAAACAAAACAAAAGAAGCATAAGCGAGGGCGTGCCGCCCCATTGGCATTCACATATTGAGGCAGGAGGCTACTGCCAAAAGTACGGAGGGAAATACTGATGCGCATGCTGTTCTACAATCACATCATGCCTGCTTGGCTGTGACTGGTTTGGCTCATGCTTTTTGATGTCAGGTTGTGGATTCATGGATGTGTTTTTTTTGCGATGAATTTGGGCCGGTAGATGATGTGCAGAGTCCCGCTTTGGATTTGCCGAGTGTTTGCCGGATGCAAGTTCTGAATGCAGCTTGACGGATGTGGCCACCAGAGCTCGTGGTGTAGAGGACGTTTTTCAGGTTTGTTGCCGTTGTGTCTCGACCACAGACTTCTGTGGCAAGGGTTTTTGCGGGAAGTAGTGGTAGAAGCGGGCAGAAGTCAGTTTGTCGGCAGAGGCTTCTGGCAGATGTTTCGTAAATAAATACAAATAACAAAATATATAAATATACATACGAGCACATACACACATACTTTTTGCTGAAAGTTGGGCGTTGCACAAGGTACAGATTCCGTAGTGTAGTGTTGCGTCATCAAGACATCGCAAGTTGACCTGCTAAGTGGTGGAACCCTCACAACAAAAAGGTCTCACCTGTGCAAGGCAAGCGGCAAACCAAAAGGAGCCAGAGCTCCTGGAGCAGCCACCCCAGAGGAAAGCCAAGCAAGCAACAGCCCTTGGAAAAAGGGCAGCAAGACAGAAAGAAAGTGAAGTGAAAGAAGAACATTTGCCCGTGCAAATAGGGCGGAAGCAAAAGAAGCAGAACAGAAAATTGGTTGAGTATCGGTCTCAGGAGTCCAAGGAGCCTTGGTTGCAAAATGATGTTTTGGCAAAGGCCGAGGCTCAAGGAAAAAGGCCTTAGACCTCAGACGTGTGGCCTTTTGCTGTCGAGAATAGCATTGGTTTTCTTGGTTGAGTGAGCTTGCATCTCAATCACCAAGGTGTCCTTACACTCAAAATTACACAAATGCATCGACGTCAAGATTTCTCTTATAGAATGGGTGACCTTAAGGCCCGTATAACAGCGTATTTTTTTCAATAAGAACATTACGTTTAGGCCAACCATTTTGTAAGAGCCCCCAAAAATGATGTTTAGGCCCCTAACTTTGTAAGAAATACGGAATACGTGGTGGACATGTCGAGATGTATCAACGTTGTGGCCATCCATTTTGTAAAAGATACAGTACATTTCATGAGAAAGCCTGTCATTTTGTAAGGCTTTCGAGGCCTTCGAACAAAAAAACAACTACAAAATTGTAGCGTCTCTATGGTTGACCAGACCGGTCACAGCCGGTCATTTCGTAGTCAAAGGGGTTGGGGCCCGAAGATTGAGAAAAATGACGTCGGGTCCAACCATTCTATATGAAATTATGGCCGAAACAAAACCAAGTAACAAGCCAAGTCAAACAAACAAACAAACAACCAACCAACCAACCAACCAACCAACCAAACAAACAAACCAAACCACACCAAACCAATCCAAACCAAACCAAACCAACCAGCCAACCAAACAAACAACAGAACTGGGATTGCCTCTTTATAGAATGCCTGGGCAGGATTTCATATCACCAGATTTCAGTAAAATCAGGGATTCTCGAAACTCTGTGGGTAGGATGGGACAGGGGAAAGGTTTGGCTGGAGAGGATTGCAGGCAGGAATCCTTTTACGGGACCAGAGTCGCATCACCAGATTTCTGTAAAGTCAAGGATTCGAAGAAGTCTTTGGTTAGGAAAGGGCAGGGGGAATCGTTTTGCTGGAGGATTGATGGAGAGAATTCTCTTTATAGAATGTCTGGGGCAGGTTGCAAAGGGGTGGCCTCTTTATAAAATGCCTGGGCAGAATTTCATATCACCAGATTTCAGTAAAATCCGGGATTCTCGAAACTCTGTGGGTAGGATGGGGCAGGGGAAAGGTTTGGCTGGAGGATTGCAGGCAGGAATCCTTTTATAGAATGGTTGGACCCGACGTCATTTTTCTCAATCTTCGGGCCCCAACCCTTTTGACTACAGAATGACCGGCTACAACTACAACCCCTACGATCTCCCAGTTTTTTGGCAGTAGTGATTCGACGGTCATACAACCGCACGTAAAACTTTTATAGAATGGATTTTCGAGACAGGTCAGCCAATCACCTTGTATTGAGATTGGGGCCCCGCGGGTTTTATATACAGAATGATTGGCCCCGACGTCATTTATGAAGCAAATGCACAAATGTGCACGATTTGTGCAGAGTAAGATATGTAACTAGTAATTAACCTTAAACCACCACTATACTTTGTATTGAACCAACCATGCCCATGAGCTAAACCCTCGAATGACATGGAATCTGTGAGAGAAGGTCAAAGAGCACTCTGTATGTGACGGACCCAGTAGGTGATTGTTTGGAACATACTGTTGTTGTCAAAGGCGAAAAACACATCACGAGTTGATTCTAGATTATATACAGTTAACTTGCAGCTTCCAGGCTTGGTTAGATTTCAATATTGCAATGGATTGTACCCCATTGTTGGTAAGGTATAAACTGACTAATGCCCATCGAACCCATTAGGAAAGGGCCATACTGTTACTTTGAATCGATGCTGCCCCATGGAAACTTCACCCGTTTCTATACTTAGTTACAATCACATTGGACATGTGGATTCTGAGAAGTGACCAGAGCAAACATCCTTCACTTCTGAAAGTCTCTTTCTAGGACCTCATGGAGTGCGAGCGCTATATTTTCAACGCCACTGGGCTGCACCATGAGGGGAGCCATGCTGTTTGCACATCATGGCGTTAAAACTTGGGGAGTGGTTGCACATGTGCCCGCTTGAACAGTGTACTGTTGTCACCAAAAAGATCCAAAAAGTATGTCCTCCAGCGTGCAAGACTTGGATGTTGCCGTGCTTGATGCCGCGGAACAAACTGTTTTCCGTCCAGCTGGTGCTCAGTGATCAGGGACTGGAGCGCTTCAGGTGCAGCTGGGCAGAGATTTTGGCGCTGCATTGCCTGGGAGCAAAGGTGCTTTTGCTGACATACCTGCCACCTTTGCCCAGCAGCAACTCGCTAAAGTTAGGCGAGGCTCAGATGTGCTGAGGTCTCAAGCAATCTTGGAGAGGGAAGAGTTTGCCCCGTTCAGAGATGGCTCAACAGATCGTTGGCAGGGTGATCAGACTCGATGACTCTCTGCAGGCTGCAGAAAGCCAGGTTCTTGTCTTTTCTGAACACTTTGGCATTTGAGATTCCTGTTGAATTAGACACCAGAGTACATAACGAGAGCCTGCCGGCTAGGCTCTTCTATTGAATATCTAAGTTATATTGGTTTATTGCACCTTTGCTTGCAGTCCTTCTCCGGAAGCATGCGCGGGCTTCAGGCTCACCACCAAGCATACGTGCGGAGGGGGGGTCTCCTTTCAGAGTTTTACGCTGACGACCCTATTGCCCCGTTTCCATCATAGCAGTGACGATGGACTCCAGGAACTGACGAGCTGACAGGCCGAATCCCAGATGTGGCGTGATCTGGCGGAGCAAACAAAACCCAACCGTGTTTGTTTCTGTTTGTGTGTGTTTAAAATGAATGATGTGGTTAGAAACCCGCCAACGTGAAGGAATCACTCAACTTGTCATGAACACTTGAGGTATGTCCAGTAGATCACATTCCTGCATCAAGATGAGGGTGAGAGACATTCCCACAAAGACAACTATTTACATAAACATCCTGGCAAGGATATTGGACAGAGTCTTATCCTGGTCGCCTTGGATAAGTCTAGCAGGTTGGAAGAATTTTTGTTTTCCTGGTATCTTCAGTACCTTACTATTCTTACTTAGCTTTACTTCAACTGACCCCTAACTTACCCATTCTTCCACTGGAAGTGGAGGAGGTATCGTCCAGCCTAATGTTTTAGGTCAAGCTTCCCTTTCACTTGTCATATCAAACCGTTAGAATCCACAGAGGGTGATCCCAAAGTCCGGATGGCCAATTCCACCATGCTGCTCTCGCTCTGCCAAGGATCCACGTGAAGATAGATGGCAATGGGGCCTGGACAAGACACGTCAATACTTGGATGAGCAGGCATTGCGGCAACCTGTGGAGTGAACAGTTAGAGTGAACGTGTGGGCATCAATGTGTGAGCATAGCGGCAGCAAAATCATGCAAAATCAATAGATGCACCACGAGACCAATGGTTTTCTTGTATCTTTTGTAGTGTGTGTGTGTGTGTTTGACTTTACAGGCAAAGGTTGAAAGGGTATTCATGCTGACCCATGTTAGCGGGGCCCGATCATTTTTTCAATTGCGGCCTCCTGAAACCAGGTGGGGCCATCGCAAGTCATTAGAGCAGAGAACTTCCTCTAGGTTTCCTATCCAGGAAAGGTGGATAACCTGCAAACCTTGGTCATGGTTCAGAAGTTCGGGATGTGTTGCCGTGATCTTTTATATGTCAAGGTGTTCTTAGAGCTTAAGAAATATATATATATAGTTGCTCGCCCTTTGGGGGCTCGGGGATGGGCGAACACTGTTGTTGTTTTTGTCCATATTGTTTCAGTCTTCTTCATTTCTGAATTGAAAACGTCTTAGTTTTAATTCTTTGTAATACTGTTTGAGTGTTTTTACTCAAAGTTCTCGTAAATTTTATAATGTATTGAGTCTGCAACGACATTGTTTTGTTTCAACTTTTTTTTACATTCTTTCTATATTATATATAAGTCTTAAGTGTGTCAACTTTCTGACTGTTTCAACCCTAAAAAGCGATTTTCAACCAAATCATCCAGCCAACCCTGTTAGACTCTGCCAGGGATGGGCACCACCCCTGCTTGCGACTATTGCCCTGAAGCAATCCAACTTCTGCCACCGCAATAAAGGTCAGTGCGTCTACAAAGTGAGTCATTCCGTTTGGCAGTTGAGCATTTAGAAGTAGTCTCACCACAAATGTGTATATTAAACTATATATATATATAGCAACATAGGCTGCTCTAGGCGTGTATCTCTAGGGTTCGAAAAGAATCGTCTTGGTGTAGCTCGTCGACCAGTTCCACTGCAGGCACATAGGACTTTGCAAGCGTTTGCAGCATATATACATTCAGAATTTCCTGCTAATCCACCTTCCCATCATCAGGTTCCTTTGCCCTTGTTGCCATGCGAATCCATCATCATCACAGTTGCACCTCAATTGGAGATAACATTTGCTTAATCTAAAAATTACAACAGCGCAAATATGCCTTGAGACATCTTAGAACACCATCGTGATGCACAAAGGGTGTATGACCCATATCCAAATTAGATCATATTAGATCGCTGATTCGCAGTTTGTCTCGGAGTTGAGTTTCCGTGCCCGTGCTGCATTTTTCGTGCTTAGTGTGCTTAAACACTTGTTGGCATGCCTGGTCTTGCACGTTTTGTGTATTCGCTGATGGTGTTGTCTTTCACCGGTTTGAAGACATGCACACACACACACACACATGTTACAAACCCTCGTGCAACCCGCATTGCAAGAGTGGAAGGGGTCATGGAAGGGCGACAGGTGGAAGGTTCGCTTCACCTTGATTTTTCCAGGGATCTCCGGCATCAGGGTTCAGGTTTCGACCACGTCCTCGACCTATGTTTATGATGACTCGTCGGACTCATCCTGCAGGGTGTGGCAGTGTGGATGGTGAGGCACAGTGTGACAGGTGTTCAGTGGCTTCAATGCCTCGGATTCCACCCAACACGCTCGTAACCCTCTCGTCGATGGACGGTTCCGCAGACGTGCTCGTGAGGCCACCTTGGTGGACGAAGTGAAGAACAAGAAACTCACCAGCCGAGAAGATCTAAGCATTTTGGCAAAGCTTGGAAGGGTGGGGCCTTTTTCATCCTTTTTCTTTGCCGCTTGGCCCTTTCGTTCACTTTTCACATGTTTTCACCTTTCAGGGGATTCCAGGATATAGAGCTGTGTGGCCATATACAAATGAGCCGCTCAGGGAAACATCAGCTTTAATGCGTCCTTTACGGATGGAGGGCTGGAGATTGAACGGGCCAGAAATTTCAACACGCCTAAGGATCGATCGGATCACGGATTGGTGTTGACCACAGCAAATCGATGTGTGTGTTTCCCATTTGCTCGAACGTGGGTGGAAAGGAGTCCTCAAAGGGTGCTCAACAAACCGGGTGGTCTTTTGAACTCCTTTGGTGGTTTGCAATTCAAAGGGTGTGGCAACGGGAATAGATAGCCAATACGATCAACACAACATAAACCACATTTGGAGCGTCAGAAAATTATCAAACGTTTCGAAACGTTTGACATGTCACATGTTCCATCATAAGTTTTCTACTTGATACTTATAGATTGAGATTAGTATAATCTAGATTCTGTGATCTAGGAATCTAGGATCTAGATGTAGAATGAGCAGCAGAGAAAGAACAACCACACTGTATACTATTTAATACTATCACCTCCAGGCAGAGTATGAGGGCTTGAAATGGCATAAGCATGTTGAAGATTCTGGTGCTCACCATCAGAACCACCGTTTTTTTTCCCGGTAAAGTGTTGCCCTGTTTGTGAATTCTGAGTCCAAACCTTCAAATTTCATGGGATCGGTCGTCTGTTTTAACCTGTTTGAACCGTTGCCGGGGTTTTGGACGGACTTCTTGGAGCGAAATCGTGAGGGCCAATCACTTCGCGCGAAGCCAATGAGTTGGATGACCATGCGATCAGGAGCAGCGAGAAGTTGGGACAAACCCCAAAGAGTGTTTTCACCCCTTTTGACCACCCTGCAGACCTGTGTCGTCCTTTGTCATGGTCACTTTCGTTTCGTGTTGGCCATTGTTTGGTAGCTGATTTAGTGGAGTTTTTGACAGATCCAAGCAGACAGACTTGCAACACCCACATGATCAGCAAAGCTCCCCACAGACACCAGTCACTCATTGCTCACCAAAGCTCCTCATCTCTTGTGCCGAATAACGAGCAGCCGAACCCACGCGCGCGACCGCGAAGAAAACGACTTCGTTCTTTCCGCGTCGACTTGCTCGCCGCCCGAGACCCGACCAACCATACCGCTCGTCGGTCGGTGTCGCAAACCTCGCTCCGTAAGGTTTGCCTTTGCCACCGACGGATCTGAAGATCAATGCCATGAAACGAATGCAAGGAACGAGTGCTGACATGGCCTCCAAGCACCCTGGGAGGATGAAGGGGGATAAGGGGGATAATGGGAGAATTGGGAGGGTGCGAGCACGGTCGAGCAATTGGAGGCCTATTTTTTTGGCATGGTGCGAGCACCGAGAGCAGTGTGAAAAGATGTGAAAAAGGTATACGGTATTTGAAGGCAATTGGTAGCTCTTTTGGGCAGGTAGTGAGTCCAGAGTCAACTAGATACATCTCATTACATATGTGAAATGCAGAGGTTTCCTTTTTCTGAATGGAATCTGTGGGAGCGGCTGTGGTGAACCAAGTCTATGTGTTTGCTTTCTTCGCACTGGGAGAGCATTTGAAGACAGAAATTCTGTCATCCACAACCGCAGGAGGACCAAAAACAGTTTGCACATGTTTGCACTAGGTTGGAGGTCATCGCTACTTGAAACGAAGAAAAGACAACGAGGGCATGTATCATATTGTTCTATATTATAGTATGCTAGGAAGAAGGTCCCATTCAAAGCAGAGGTCCCGATCACTGGTCTGACAAAGCTGTGCCTCCAGAATGCACATAAATGGCTTGACGGACCGGGACTGGGACATAAGCCACCCTGCACTGGACTTCTGGCCAGTGGAAAAGACCCGACGACAGAGGTTCAAAACCATGGGCATCTCCCATGTGGTACTATTTGGAAGAAAAGCTTTGGCCCCGGAAAGAGGTATTATTTGAGGAGTCTGAGGAAAAACAACACGTGGACTGTAATAAAACACTGTTTCAAGGGCCCATGAAACAGGTAAAGTTGAATTCCAAACTCCTTAGGATGCGGTGTGATGTTACTCTTCCACCGGGTGTCATTGAACTGGAAAAACACGAGGAGCTTGCGCACTTCGTAGCAAGTATAGATTGGATTTGCGTAAAACATATTGTGTTTGCCTCTCAAATATACACATAAAATATTACAACAATGAAAGGAAAAAAGCAGATTTGGGACTAACGTAGAGAGTTACGGTCAAAACTAGTCTCATGAATTTGTTTGTAATTCAATGTATATACTTTACCATAATTGTCCAGATACGAGAAGCAGGTGTTTGACCACATAAGTGTCCAACTCATTGAAACTTGTGTATTGCATTCAATTGTTTCATAAGGAAAACGGATCAATGACCCGTGTCTCAGAGCCTACCACTGGTTTTTCGCCTTCAGGGCCCGTGATAAATCCTGCCAAGGGAAGAGAGGAAAAAGAAGGACGAAGAAGCGAAAAAGAAATCAAAGGATGAGCAACCAAAGTCGGGCCCTGAGATGTGCAGATGTCCTCATCAGGATCGGTGACGGGTGACGAGGCTCCAATTCACGAGCTGAAAGGTGAGCTGTTGCCGGTGTGACTTTAGGGACTCAAAGATGGGATGGGAGTAGCTTCTCTTACCACTGTGCTTCCCTTTGAGATACCTACTGGATCTTAACACGCTATCAGATGAACGCAAAGTGCGGAAACCTGCGGAATCCTGCGGATGTCTGACAACCTGTGGGTGTACTGTCGGTGGCTCACCGTGGGGAACCCGTTGGGAGAGCCCTCTTTTGGGCCACTAATATGATAGTCTGAGTCTGCTCCTCGGGAACCTCTGTCAAGACCATGGACACGAAACCAATAGCGCGACTTGCGAATCCGTCCAACCACAGCTCGTGTTGAGCAGTGGAAACGAAACCAACAAGAACTGTATTTTTGGACACAAATAATTTGTGTTCCTGGGTTTGGAAACGCAATGAACAGGGCAACTATAAGAACTTAATGGCAACGTAGGATTAATAAACGCCCCTTCCTTCAAGGTCAACAAGGATTGAGATTTGAGGTATTTGAGGAGGACATCCCCCTAATAGAGGTGACGACCTGATGATGATGATGATGATGATGATGATGATGGATGACAAGATCAGCATGGGAAAAGGGTGAGTCAGAATGCTATCTCTCAAAGAGATGGCATGAGACAAGGGTGGATCAGAAGATCAGTTTCACCATGGACCAGAAGATATTGGAGACTAGCTAAAAGAAGATAATATAAAATATGTAATAAAAAAATAGTAAACCATGTTTTTTGGGTGGGGGCAGCTGGTTAATAGGGGGAGGTTTTTGCACAGGAAAAAATATTAGGGGGATGCCAAGGTGGAAATCTAGGTTTTAAATTAGTTTAGCATTGGGGGGGGTCGAGTTGGGATTGAATAATAGCGGGTGGTTACTTAATCCTATGTGCGCATTATATAAGAACCCCGATGTTAAATACAACTGGATACTGGATACGCGAATGAGTTGGCTGTGGGTGCTGGCGAACCATCCAGGCACCCTGAATAATCTCGAGGCTTCATGTTCCTTCGAACTCTTGTTCTTTGTGGGTTTTGTGGTACAGCTTTCAGGCAAGTATGTGCGAAACATCGCCAAGTGACTGTGTTGGTTTCTACAAAACGTTGAGCTCCAAAAGTCAGCGACCTCGTAAAGAATGACTTAAGCAGATGACAGGGAGATGACAGGCATTGTGTCAATTTCAAAACTATTCAATACCCATCCGCTGTGTACCACGATGTTCCTCAACAAGGGCAATCCAGGCATGAGCCAAACCAAGGCGTCGTCAGTCCATGGGCGATGTCTTGTTCTTTTGTTCGTCCATGTCGGTCGTGTCCTCCGGTCGCATCGTGCATCGGTGCTCGGTGAGGGAGCAAAATCTCGAAGAAGTGGATATTGAGTTCATGAATTACAAGGCCTCGGAGGAAAAAAGGGGTTGGACCGTCCAGATGGACAAATGGAGGATGGACTTTCTGGTAGCCTCCGACTCTATTCTATAGAGCTCTTTATTTTTGTATTTTTGATGTACAAAAGGTGTTTTTTTCTTCTCAAGACCTGTGTTCAATGTAATTATATATATACAGTATTTATATGTCGTTACATGTTATATAATGTTACATAATATATATATATACATATCATTAGAGGATGACCATCTCGGCAACAGCCATTATGCTGGTGAGCTCGGGAGCAGGATCAAAAATAGGGTGCAGGTGCTGCATACTTTACAGCAGGGTTTGACCTGCGAAAGGAGCCAGGATGCTGTGATGTTCTTGGTTGATCACTGGTTGATACAGATCTGAGAAACACTTTAAAGTATATGTATTGTATTGAAGGGAAGTTTGGCGCATCCCGGGTTACAGGGATCATGTGCAGGACGTACTTACAGTACATAATGTTCACTGGGAAGTGTGGTTCCGTTTGTAAGGGTGCTTTGCTTGACTAAACCAACAGCTGCAAAAGCCGTGTTGAGCAGGGCTTGATTCTGACGAAATCAACAGGCAGTGGAAGACAGTGGAAGAGTCAGAAACACAGTGATTGAGAGAGGGAGGATGCACCATGGACCACGGTATGGATACCTTTCCTGACAAAGGCCAGTCGAATTCCATGTTAAGTTAACTGACCTCACTTGTGTGTCCATCACTTTCCCAGATCCTTTACCCTTGTTTGAGCACTCCCAATGGATGCCGTGGAGGGTTTACACCACGCAAAGCCAAATGGCACCTTTGCGCAGGAGTGTTCATTGTCCATTGCACCGGTTCGGGACTCACAAGATTAATCAGATGGCACTATTGCCAAAAATGAATACGTAGTCAAGTCAAGCTTACATGTTTAAGGGAGTTGTTCTAAGACACGACAGGATCCAGCAGGACATTCAACAAGTTATACTAAACTCATCGGGGCCGGTGAAGTGGGCGACGCAGGGCATCCCCACATGCGTTTGAACAGAAAACACCACATGCGAATGCGACCTTTTCAAATGGTAGCCCGAGGTCTGAACACCTGGAACCTCAAGTGACCATCAGTGTTTTCTTCTGTGTTTGGTTTGTTCTTAGAACAGTGACGACCCAAGGCAGCAAGGCCGTGGAAACATCGAGATCGATGTTCGATGATTTGGGAAGCACACAGCAGCTCGAGTTCTTTCAGCTGCCAGGTACCTATGATAACTTGAAAGTGAATTCAGATGAAGGAAACCAGGATCATCGACTTGAAATCTTAGGACCAAAGGGTTATATGCGCAACCTCTCCAGATCCACATACCCTTTGAACTGGGTGGGTTTAAAGATGAGAATCCGATGGGTTTCACCAGTTCACATCCCTAGCGTCCACATACTCTTTGAATCCGGTTCAGGATGTGAACTGAATAGGTGTCAAAGCTCCACCGCGCAACGCGCGGGTCGCTGACGGCGAAGCCGGTCGCAGCGGCAGGGCCTGGTGATGACCCGAAAGCAGAAGGCCCAGTACGCCCAGCGGGCACAGCGCAAGAAGCAGCAGGAACAGAAGCAAGAGGGACCGAGGAAACGGAGGCCTGGTGTCACACCGATCGGTGCGATGGCCTGGTGTTGTACCGTTTGGTTGTCTCACATGTGAGATTACCAGGCCTCTGTAGGAGAAACGAGCAGATTTGTCGTCGTCCGTGGTCGTCCGAGTCTGTGAATCGGAAGGTTTACGAAAACCACCGATGTCCTAGGCTTGGGACATATCTCTCGGTTCGCCTGGGTGATGTCCAGCGGCATGGTCAGCAGAGTACAAGACCCACAGCAACCAAAGACTCAATGGAGTTGGACAGTTGACCTCTATATCCATTGTCGAACTATGACGAACAGTATTTGGGGTCAATGGATCCATTCGTCTATATCCGAACCGGCGCGAACGAGGTTGTACCCTTGTTCATTCTTTGTCTAGGAATATCCAGCTCTCCGTACCCAATCCATCAATAATTAATCATCAATATATGACAGGACAATTATGTGCAATAGCAAGTGTCCGTCAAAATACCGCAGAAGCTTCCTTTTCGTCCGATGAAATGTTAATGACTCATGAATACTCATGACATATCTCCAGCTGGAAACAGGAACGACAGAAGTATAGTAACAAGAAGCTACTAGGAACAAGTGCATCGCTACTAGTAACAAGTGCCTTACTAGTAAACTAGTAGTAACAAGAAGCTACTAGGAACAAAAGAAAGATGTCTTAAGTATAGATGCTCAAAAGTCACCCCACTCGTCCACCGAAAACGGATTCGACGATTCGCCAGCCACGAGAGTTCGCCACCCCAAGACGACCGCCCTTCGCGGAGGTGAGCAGAGGCTGCGGATCGCATAGACCGAGAGTAGAGTCTGAAGTGGGTGTGGAGAAGGCCGATTTTCATGTCTCAACTGCAAAAAGGAGTGCCAGCAAGGAGGTTGACTCCACTTGTTGATTTGGGTGTTGAGCTTCAATGAGCAACCCCTGACCAAGGTTCTTCTTGTGGGCAACGGACGGAGTGGCCAAACATTGCCAAACACACCACAGCAGTCCTTTCACAACCAGGTTCAGAGGTATAGCAAGTCATTATTAAATAGTTGAACATCATCTCACAAAAAGAAGCAAGTGTGGTAAGTGTGGCTCTTGTTTTATATAGACGCACCCAGTAACAACCAATCAGGGACATACCTTGCAAGAGGTGTTGTTGCAACATGTGGTAGCAACGTACTTGTATAAGAGAGGCCAAGATTGATGCTTCATACAACATACAACAACATTAAGCAAAGAAAGATAAAAAAGAACATGACAAGTGTCTTATTTACACAAGAATCAGAACTGTCTCAACCGAAGATCGACTTGTTTACACACTTTATAACAATGCTCATTGTGGCAATTAGAGGCGTCACGAGAGTACTGCAAGTATGTTCAGAGAAGACCTCATTGTGTGTTTTGTCTTCCACGGTTTTTAAGCCTTTGGACATTTCAGATGAGATGCTCCCGACACGGTCTCAAGACCTTATTGTGATGGGCTCTATGTGGTTTGTATGGTTTTGTATTTACAGTATAATGGGGTTGAACTTTGCTGGGCCAGTGCTGACCATCTTGAACTAGAACAAGAACTGAGCAAACGTCTCCCGCACACCGGGCGGTTCAATATTTGTGGTCCAACCTGCATCAACACATTGACTTTGTGATCAAACCAGTGTTTTTTCCTGATCCCATTGGGTTCTTGGACCTGTTGGGTTTCGGTCATCGCTGATCGATTCCATCACCGACCGCTTGCTGTCTTTTTTCGCTTGGATCAAAGCACACAGGATCGAGTGCCTCATTCGGAGATTACAGTCTGCAGATGTCGAACATGGGCTTTTCCAGGAAGTGAAACACCTCGTATATAGTATGTGTCCTCGTATATGGTTTGAAAAGCAGTTTCCTCGTTGGACAGTTGGACAGTGTTTCGTGCACGTGCTTTGGTTCCAGGATGCAAAGAGTTTCAGGTTGGCTCTTACAAGAGCCGGGTGGATGGTGAATTGCTTCACGAGCACTGCATATATCAACCCCCACAAGCGGTGCCTGTCAGCGGCTCCGCAAGAAGCAAGTCCATTCTTCTTCGGCATGGGAAGTTCTTCAGAGGTTTCAACACCAAAGAATGCATCAGCTGGAGGATACTGCAAGGCTTGGAGGTGCTATTTGAGCGACACTGTGCTGTTGTGCTTGTTGTGAAACATATTCTCAACAGGGCGACACGGTGCCGCGTCCCGACTGTCCACCCCGTAGAAAACGCAACGACACTTGCGTTCCGTTGTGCTCACCAAACTTCCAAGGCTCGATGAATCGTTGGCACGGTTTTCAGAACCACTCCAAATAGAGAGGATTGCACGGTGTCCAAGACATTGGGGATCGACAAACTTCTATGACAGGGGGTCTATATAAGTCGGAAAAAGGGCAGGAACTTGGTGGCCATTGAACTGTGTTTCTGTTGGGATCCACTGCAGATGGGAATGCAGCCGAACGTGCCCAAAGTGGCACGTGATGCAGTCCAACTCCACCGAAGCCTTGTTGCAACTTTGGCACATGTGTTTCTTGGCCATGGAAGAGCGTCGGGGATGTTGGAGGTACGATAACATCCAGCAACCTGTTGGATGTCGCCAAGTAGATAGCATCAATTTCAAAAAACAGACGTGCCTGTTACAGTACTACTAGTTGGGGCTTCGATTTTTGTGCGGGCTCTGCATCCTTCAAGGAAGTGGTACTGCTGATGAACGCAAACCTTCGCAAACCTCAGGTGCCAAAAGAAGCCCAATTGATCCCATCCAATGCAAATACGACCGAACAAATGTGGAAATGAGTGGAACATTTCAGAGGTGTCCGGTTCAGTATGTAAATCCATCGGCTCAGTAAGCATACATCAGAGATACATCAGAGATTTGTTACTTAAAGACTGCAAAAAGAATAGCGGTGGGCATGTAATTGACTGTGGTTGACTCTCCAAGGTTCTGAAACCTGAAGTTATTGCTCAAGTGGAGAGGGCGTTTGTCCGAAGCACTTCTTATTTACCACGACCCACCCCATGTCAATGGACAATGATGACTTAACAAGGTTCGTCCTCCTTGCTTGAGCAACAGTCACGTGGGTATTTGCTGCAAGAGTTTTCTCCTCAGTACTTGCAGTGCATGTTTGGGGCTCAGGTTAACATGGCTTTTTGTAACATCCTGGAATGGAAGGCAACATGTTTCGCTTAACGGTCTTAATGACCTTATACAAAAGGTCCTGTTACAGTGATTTCAATGTAATTCAGAGGAGACGGCACACTACCCGAGAGGTGGGCGAAATGATGCCCATCAAACATGGTCATGGATGTGTGTGCTGTGTGCTGTCTACTGTCTACTTGTATAGTCACTCGGGAGGGTCGTGATGTTTGGTGTTGTGTTTGGATACTACACGCACTTTTGCCATTGGTGGCGGGATCAAGAGAAGAACATACCTAGACAAACCAGTGCCTCAGTGCGAAGATCTGAATGTCCCATATCTTCCCAGGCTGGTCAGAGTGGATCGAATCTTGATTGTAACACTCCGATTCACTGCCATGGCACGACCTTTCGACCGCTCAGGACACCATGTTTTCTTGCAAACAGGTGGTTTCCACTTCCAGTGAGTTGGAGTGCTTTGTCTTTAGCGAGTCCTCAACAGCGAGTCCAAGATTGATCCTGTGGGGGGACCAACATTCTTGCGATAGCAAGAATGACAATGTTTCCGCGTTGTCCATCGGATCGTTGTCTATGATACATACCTCTCCAAATTGCTGGCATAGACCAATTGCAGAGGAACAGCATGGAACAGCAATCATTATTAGGCTCAAAGTTCTTCCAAGGACTGCCGAAGACATTCTTCATTCAGGCCCTTTTGTCCAACCTATGACAACTGAACTGCCACCTGCTTGACACCTGGGTGCCTGCTGCACTGCCACCTGCTGTCCGTGACTCCTAGAGCTAGACCAGCACCTCTGTCCAAGGCGTCAAGTCACAGGGCGCCCTGGAGTCGGTCCTGCAATGGGAGACCTTGAGGCGGGAGAGGATGGACCGTCCGTCCGCGACGTCCGGGTGGCGGCAGGAGGAACTCCTCCGTCCACACGGTTTTCACCGTCACGGACGGACATTTGGGACCAGCTGTTTGGTCCGGATTTAGAAGAACCCCTCTACACGGGGCTGTTTGGTCAGCGGAAGGAAGCTTTCCACTGAAGGTATTTGGTAATGGACCTGGCCTGATCACATGCAAGAGCTTGGGACACCATCCCAGCAATATGTCAATGGTGCTGTTGTTGTTTGGGATTGTCTTCTCTACTCCAGAAACCCAACATGAAGCTTTGACGGACTCTGACATTACAAGTGGCCAAGCCCGGCTTCATTTTATCACCACTCCTTGAGAGAAAACGGACCCGTCAATCGATGACGACCGATGACCTGGGCTCAGGAATGGATGGGGACTTGGGCAGATTTGATCAGAAAGTCATCGACACTGCGTGGCAGCAATGAATAGCCCTGGCCGAATCAAACACTGCCTGCAGGGAGTCACTTGTAGCTAGGTATACGCAAGACTAAGACTACATGGGTTGGTAGTGACACTACCGTCTTCTCACCACTTCCGCCGGTTTTGACACGGCGTTGGACCCGTCGGACCAGTCGTCTCCCGTCACCTTGACCCTCCCCAGGAAGGTCATGGCGGGCCTCCCGATGGCCCGGCAGGAGGCCATGAGACACTTGGCGCGTTTAGACGTCACGTCCTTCGCGTCCGCGGTGAGACGTGCGACCGTTGGGAAGGAAGGCGAGCTGGGTGAGGGATTCTTGATGCTTCTTTGGTGCTCTTGAACGCTGCTGGGATGTTCGGAAGGTTTGGAGATGTTTTTTCTATTTTTTTTCTATATCGTCAGGCGGTTATATAAATATGGTTCTAAACAAATTGATGGACCGTGAACATGGTCGGCCTTCGCCAACCTCAGCCTGACCGTCATACCACCCTCAGGAAGTGGAGTCGACAGCGGTGTGGATCAGATCTTACAACGCCACTTTGGTGCTGCGCGCCACGAGCAACACGACGTGAACTTCACGCTCTTTTGGCGAGGGATGGAGGTCCGGTTTGTTGCCCTTTCGGGGCCGGTTTGAGTCCCGTTCGGAGGATTGGCCCTTTGAATCACTCACCTGGAAGTGGATGGCATGGTCCCTTGGAAGACACTTTCCTCTAGCAAATCTAGCAACAAGGGTCCAAGGGGTGTTCCACTTCTATGTTAGTGAGTCAGAGTGTAACGGTGTTTCCTCAAGAACCATGGTTTGACCAAGGGTTGAGGCTACAACGCCAGGCCAGGCCGACCTTTTTTGTAGTAGTCTTGGAAGGAGTTCTAGGATAGTTACCCAAAGCCACATTATATATGCCAATTATAGACGGGTAGTTTGTAAATGCTTGATAGACAGCCGCGCGTGTTCATGCAATTTAATGCGTCTTCCGATAGGATGCTTGGGTGGGGTCATGCGAACTTGCAGACGCAGTTGAAACCTTTCAAGGTTGATTTTCTTTGGCCTCCTCTGGCCCTTGTTCTAGGGTTTACCTCTAGGCCGTCCAACCCTGAGTGATCTTGTACTTGGGAGCACCGAACGTCGCCATGGCCGTCGCATGGGCCGTTGCCACCGGACCTCGCAACGGCCCATGCGTCATGTCCGCGTCGGGCCCGTCGTCGGGAGGCGATCCTGCAAAGTGCTGGTGTCTTCAACAACACTGGTTTCGAGGACGAGATCCTCCAGGCAACGATCAAGACGGCAGCTGGGTTGGCTGAGATGAGGGTTGTTGATAAGTTTGTTTTTTTTGATGGAGAGTCTCTTTGGGGGTGTCCATATGTGATTGATAGACACCATGGATCACACATGATTCGACTCACTTTTTGGAAGGTGATTTTGAGCATTATGTCTTTCGGAGGTGTTTTATGACCTTATGGTGTATGACTTTAGTCACAGCCTCTGAAGAGTTGA